AGGTGGGTGGGAGGAGGTGTATTCTAGGTAGCTGTGGGAGTCGGTGGGCTTGAAATGGATATCGGTTTCTAGGTGGTTGCCCGAGATGGAAGAAACTATTCCCACTCACAGAAGGATCAAGAACCAGAGGACACAGATTTCAAGTATTTTGCAAAAGAAGCAAATGTGAGGTGAGAACAAACATTTTCAGGACTAGAAAGGATTGATGAGCTGAGGGAAAGACCGAGATAAGCAATATTACCAAAGTGGTTGGATTGTTCAGTTCCATACTGTCACCAGTGGGAAGGAAACAATCGATCATCAGTGAACAGAGTTCACAGTAAAACCATAAGAAACAGGAACAGTAACAGGCCATTCAGCCCCTTGTGCCTGCTCTGCCATTCAATAGGATCATGGCTGATTCTGACATTTATGTCCACTTTCCTGCATTTTCCCTGTAGCCCTTAATTCCCTGACTGATTGGGAATCTACCTGTCTCAGTATTAAATATACACAAGGACTCTGCCCCCACAAATTTCTGTGGCAAGGAGTTCCAAAGACTCGAGTCACACATTGATCTCCCAGGAAGATGCCTGGACCAATATGACATATTGTTCATTCTATTGGTGCTTGCATCCTGCAACATTGAACTTCTAGTGGCTTGTCCCTATCCCCTCTCCTTGCTGCCAAACCAAATCCCAGTGTGTGTTAGGAATCATAAGAGTGAGCTGACAGTTCATTATCGCAGGATTCAGTCTGTCTGTTGGTAAGTGTCTATTAAACTACAAAGCAGTCACTGACCAGTGAACATGACAGTGCTGGTCGCTGCTACTGAGAAAGTCACCAAACCGGCCATGTTTGACAGCAATCCGACCTCAGCAATCCAACTGTCGCCAAGGCAATACTGCATCATCTTCAGGGCCAGAAGACTGCTCAAGTAGGTTAAGTGCTCAACTGCTGAGCCGTATCCAATCTGATCGGATCGCCAGCACAGCGGGGAACTCAGCTCAAAGAGGATCAGAATGTCCTTGACTCCGAAATGCACGGTCACCACGATAAAGAGGGACAGTGCATACAGGCAGAGACGGTGCCGACGCCCAGTCTCCTGCCCACTGGAATACAGGCGGTACACCGCACGGTAATGCTCCATGGTCAACAGTTTGCCCGGTCTCTTCACGGTCACAGACTCCTTAATGAAAACAAAAGCGTAGATGACAGTCGCCACGTTCAGAGCCAACACCAGCCAGAACGGGATGATGTAGCCTTGAGCCTTACTCCACTGGCCCCCAATAATACTGCCAAACATTCCCGCCATTCCCAGGCACGCCTCCAGCACGGCAACCCGGAACGTGCGTGACGGTTTGTCGCTGATGTCTGCGATGTACGAGAAACATCCAGCCAGGATGGTGTTGAAATCGCCCAGAAGCCCACTCAGCAGTCGGCCAATCAGAAGGAACCTGACTGGCAGCTCCTCGTACATGACGATGAGATAAACCGCAGCCTGCAGCGCCAGACCAATACCCGGTAAGATCAGGATGGGTCTACGGCCCACGCGGTCACTCCACGGTCCAAGCAGTGTCGCAGAGAACAGTCCCACAGCAAAACCCCCAACGTTAATGTACAGGTTCCAATGGGAGGTCAAAGTCTCTACGTCCTAGAATTGAACAGAAAGATCGCTTTCAGAAGATGCCCTCCAGGAGATCCTGAAACACCTGTCTACAAGAGATCTTTGGCGTCAACCAACCAAAGAATGGAAGGAGGCCATTCAGCCCCTCAAGGAGCTCTTAATCCAGAGACCCAGATAATGCTCTGTGGACCCGGGTTCGAATCCTGCCATGGCAGATGGTGGAATTTGAATTCAATAAAATATCTGGAATTAAGAGTCTAATGATGACCATGAATCCATTGATGACTGTCTGAAAAACCCATCTGGTTCACTAATGTCCTTTAGGGAAGGAAACTGCCATCCTTACCTGGTCTGGCCTACATGTGACTCCAGACCCATAGCAATGTGGTTGACTCTGAACTGCCCTCTGGGCAATTAGGGATGGGTAATAAATGCTGCCTGGCCAGCGACGGCCTCATCCCGTGAATGAATTAAGAAAAAAAAAGACTCCCTTCTATTCAATGAGATAATGGCTAATCTGCAACCTAATCTCATATACCTGCCTTTTTCCCTATCCAATTAATGATTTTGGTTAACAACATTCCATTGATCTCAGGTTTAAAATGAACAATTGATCGAGCATTAATTAGCACTTGCGGAGAATCCTTGTGCTAAGATCTATTTTCTAATTATACTCTTGAAAGGTCTGGCTCTTATCATTAGACTATCTTCCCTAGTCCTAGACATTCCAACCAGTAGGAATACTTTCTGTCCACTCTATTCAATCTCATCTCAATAGCACTGCCCTACACAGATCATTGGGCTTAACCAAAACAAATTGTATTATCTGATTTAAGGACAAGTGTTGGCCAATCCAAATGAATCGAGGGAGATCCTTGAAGACAGACCAGACATGGAGGATAATGACCATTGTACACAATGACCAGCCCCAGGACATTGCTGCAGGACTACTTAGGATAGTGCTAGTTAATGGGGCAATTATTTAAGGAAGTAATTGATATTAATTGTCTGAGTCAAGAGATGTGGGCACCATGGGGTTTGGAATGTATCATTTCCCCTCCAACTCCATTTTAATCAAAACCCCTCCCTCTCTTCCCACTCTCCCCAATTTTGTGACTGCTGCATTATCCACGGTGGGTAATGCTTGTAAATTATTCTTTTAGTTGGTGAAGACTTATTACAAACAAAATGGGGGCTCTTCTGGTGCAGTGGTACTGTCTCTACCTCTGGGCCAGGAGGCCTAGGTTTAAGTCCCACCTACTCCAGAGGTATGTCATAACATCTGAACAGGTTGATTAGGAAAATATCCAAGTATGGGCCACTGGATATCGATGCAAAAGCTAATAGATGTTTCAAATGGACAAAGAATTCTGAGATGCAGAGGGATCTGGGTGTTATAGTATGTGATTCACAAAGTTAAAATACACTTATAGCAAGTGATTAAATTAGCTAATGATATTACAAGAGGACTTGAACATAAGGGTAAGGATTTAATGCTTCATTTATACAGGGCATTCATGAGACCACTTCTCAAATAGATTTCTGGAGTCCTTAATTAAGGATGTAATTATGTTGGAGGCTGTTAGGAGAAGGTTGAGTAGATTGACACCTGGAATGAGTGGATTGTTTTATGAAGAAAGGTTGGACAGACTGGGCTCGTTTCCAATGGAGTTTAAAAGAGTGAGCAACAACAACGACAACAAGAGTGAGGGTTGACTTGATTTAAGTAAAAGATCCTGAATGGTCTTGACAGGGGAGATGTGGAAAGGATGGTTCCTTTTATAGTTGGTCCAGAATGAGGGGGCACTGGCGTAACATTAGAGGTCACTCATTTAGGACAGGAATGGGAGAAGATTTCTTTTATCTTGGAGAGTTAGTGACTTTGGAACTCTCTGTCTCAGAAAGCAGGGTCATTGGATATTTTTTATGCAGAGGTGGGCAGATATTTAGGATGAGGGATCGAGGGTTACCAGGAATAGTTGGGAATGTGGGATTTGGAACACAAACAACTTACTGATAGCCATAATCTTACTGAATAGTGGGGCAGGCTTGAAGGGCCAAATGGCCTACCTTTGCTCCTGATTCAAATGTTTTTATATTTATCGATGACTGTTATTCTGCATTTAACTGATTACTTTGTGACAATTTAGTGGTTATTCTGTATTTACTCCTTTGTAATTATTATTCTGTCGGTTGATATTCCAGGCTGATTATTGTCTTGATTATTCTGCACTGATGACAATTAATTAATTGCTAATCAAATAAATTCACTAGACTGCTTATTCATGATTATCGATGATTCCCTATCATTGTTCTGCACTGATTTCTGAATCTGTGTGATTGTTGATTTTATTAATGTTTGTGTATTGATTATTGACAATTCTGTATTGATTATTGATGATTCTGTATTCATTGCTGATGATTTTGCATCTACTACTGATGATTCTGTGTGAGATTCTGTACTGGTTACTGATGATTCTGTATTGATTACTGGTAATTCTCTATTGATTATTGATGGTTTGTATTGATTATTGATGATTCAGTATTGATTATAGATGATTTGATCTGACTGCTAATTGATTCTTGATTTACAATTGGTGATTCTGTGTTGGTTGATGATTAATTCCATATAGAATTTTGAATTCACGATTGATTATTCTGTATTGATTGTTGATCTTTCTATATTGCTTATTGATTATTAATTATTTTGTTCTGATTGATTCCGTATTGATTACCGATTTAGTGATGATTTCATAGTGATTAATTCTGTATTGATCACTGATTATTGTTAATTATGTACTGATTGATTCTGTATTATAGAGTCATCAAATCATAGAGCCCTCCAGCACTGAAAATGGTCCTTCGGCTCACTGCGTTTGTGCAGGTCAAAAACAACCACTTGACTATTCTAACAGATAGCAGGAACTGCAGATGCTGGAGAATCTGAGATAACAAGATGTAGAGCTGGATGAACACAGCAGGCCAAGCAGCATCAGATTCCTCTGATGTTGCTTGGCCTGCTGTGTTCATCCAGCTCTACACCTTGTTACCTGACTATTCTAATCCCATTTTCCAGCACTTGGCCCATAGCCTTATATGCCTTGGCATTGCAAGGTCACATCTAAATACTTCTTAAATATTATGAGGGTTTCTGCCTTTACCACCCTTTATAGGTAGTGAGTTCCAGATTCCCACCACCCTCTGAGTGAAAAGTCAAGTCTATAAGTCTACAAATGTGGCCTAACCAACATTTTATAAAATTCCAGCATAAAACCCCTGCTCTTATACTGAATGCCTTGGCAAATAAAGGCAAGTATCCCAAATGTTTCTTAATCACTTTATCCACCTGTCCCCATATCTTAAAGGACATGCATACCAATGTGTCTCTGATTCTCAGTGCTTCCCAGGGTCCTATGGTTCACTGTGCGTTGATCATTGATTTTTACTGACTCTATATTGATCAGTAATTATTCCTGATCCTGTACTAATGAAGAATTATTTTTGATTCTGTATTGATTATTAATCTTTCTGCGTTGGTTATTACTGATTCTGTAATAATCACTGATTTTTAATGTTTCTCCGCTGATTTTCATTGATTCTGTATTGATCACTGATTATTGATCCCTGATAATCAATCACTAATCCCTGACAATTGATCCCTGGTGATTGATTCCTGATTATTGATCCCTGATCATCGATCCCTGGTAACTGATTCCTGATGCCTGATACTTGATTATCGATCCCTGATTATTGATTCCTGATCCCTGGTGATTGATTCCTGAATATTGATCCCTGATCATCGATCCCTGATTACTGATGCCTGATACTTG